GGTTTTGGCCATTTTGAAAGCAGTTTATGCTAACTGAACTTTTGTTGTGTTGCAGATTTGAACCGGTTTCCAATAACTTACACCAGCTTATATGTAATTTATATCCCTAACCATAGGGGATAAAATCCTTCAAGTAACAGAAATAAAAGTGTTCATGCCAGGGAGTGGTGGAGCTTATAAGTAAAAAAGTGCTTCTGTGCTCAGACACTACAGGGAAGAGCTGCATTAGAAACAGATTAGATAACAAGCAGAAGAAGGAACTACAGAGAGGCCACAAAATAAATGATCATTTCTCTCCCTCCTGTGAAGGAAATCCATATATTCTGCATATTGTAAAAATCTTCCTACACAGAACAGCATTTCTCTGTAGCAAGGAGATGGGCTATATACAAAACCCATTTCAAATGGGACAGAACAGTCAAGTGTTCACAGCTGTTTCATTCAAAATATAAAAGAAATGACACTGTTCAGGCTCCTCCTCATTCCACCAGGTGGCGCACGGCACAATATTCCCTGACACAGGGCCTGTTGCAATCCCAGAGTGTCCTGACAATTTTGTTGCTCTTTCCCTGGCTTTGGACCCCAACCAGGGACAATGGAACATAAGTGCTCCCCTTGTCTTCGTTACCAAGATCTGACCCCTGTTACCATCTCCCTTGATCAGAAGCAAGCCAGAACCAGATATTTCCACTGGTTTTCTACCTGTTCCTTTTGCCCTGGTAAATGAGGAAGTGAAGGATTTTTATAAAAATCAGTATGCTCTGCATGGTGCATGCAACATGATATATACTGAAGAGAAGATAGATGAGATGACTTAATATGTCTTTTCTGTCTGTATATTGCATAAAGCTTCATCTGGTAAAACAGAAGGCACAGATTCAGATCTCAGAGTAGGTGTCACAGTGAATGTGATTTTTATCAGCACTCTCTGGTCTCAGTCTGGAGTACGTTGTCAGATCTGTCCCCAGTACAGAAAGATGGAGACTGATTTCTCTCCTTTCTTCCTCTCATATCGAGTTCTGATTTCTATTCTTCTTAGGCTTCAGATAATGCTGTTTCCCCACCCATTGACAATGGTTTCCCCACCCCACCATTGATAATGGTGTTTCTTCCCTATCAATGTGGAGGGCCAATTATTTTGAAGAGTTCTGGAGGAATCCTGAGATGTCATGTCACCCTTCGATGTTCCTATCTTTTCAGCAAAGAGTGATCGGTACCACACTCCAGGACAAACTGCTCCACTTGGACAGTCTCATGACAGCACTCAGCAGGCGTCCAGGTCTCAGCTCAGAATGAAAAACAGCAGACAGCATTATGCGTTAGAACTGAAGTGCATTGGCAAAAGGTGGGAACAAAATACATTTATACACTACATTTTATTCTAAGTGCACTTCACCTTTAAGAATAGCAAAAAAAATACTGCTTTACCTAGAAAAGTTTGGTTTGATATATCCTGGCACTGTGCAGATCAGTAAATTTCCAATATGCGTTGGAAGCTTTTCACTCCCTCTGTATAAAAGCAGGTAACAAGTGTTACAGTTAGAGTCCTTATTTTGCACCTTTCTTCCTTGCAACTTATTGTTTATCTTTTTATTTCATTGACCAAGCAGAGTATTTTTCACCTGCTCCCAAAAGCTGATTGTGATATATAAGTTTAACTGCAAATATAAGGGACAGAAAAGACAGCAGAGAATGTATCATGGTGCTTAGTGAAGTATGAGAACTCAAATGAAATAGTATAGATGAAAGAGAGCCTTTCAGAGGAAAAGACTGAAAGAGATTTTGAAGGAGAGGACAAGAGAAGGAGAAAGAAAAAGTGCCAAACTGATCTATAGCTTAGGTAGATGCTGCTCCTCTGACTTTAGCTGGGTCCTGCCTCCTCACACCATGGCTCAATTGCTCAGTGGCACCATGGCTCAATGGCACTAGGAGAGAAAGTGGAAATGAGAAACTCATTAGCAGAAGGTGGGGGTGAAAAGGGGAGGTTTAGAGTGTGGTTTCCTGAACCCACCACTTAAGAAATCGTAAAGTCTTGTTGTTTAATCAAAACCACAGCTAAAATGTAAACACATACTCACGTGCACACCCAAACCACTTGATTGTAAGTGACACTCTAAGCCCCTTGCAGCAAAAAGCTGTTCACTCATTTTCGTCATCTCTTGAACTTTCAAATGATGCTCTTTTAGGCCCGTGCACACAGAGGTTAGATGAGTGCCCCCTCCCCCACTTTGCTTTGTGTGCCTGATGGATGGCCTGCATGGCTTCCCCCTGCAAGAGATTTTTGTGGTGGAGAAGCCTCCAGCCCCACCACATATACAAGCTGCATGGCCTATTAGGGAGCCCCTTTGTGATGTAATTGGATTTCTCCCCTTGTTAGTTTGCAATGAAAATGTCATCTGTATCAGGGAGGCACCCATTCATCTTGAATTAAATTCAGTCCTCTCTTTGGTGAGCTGTGAAACCATTCACACTGCAGCAGGCAGCTGCAACTGGAGGCTTCCCTAACAATACCCCATGCTGCTCTGGAAGCACAGCTCCTGCCCGGCAGGGCTGGACTGCTCTCTCTGTTGCCCATATCTCTTAGACCTCCCAGCCCATTCCTGAGAAATAGTAACACTCCAGACAATGCTGGGGAACTGGGAGGATGAAAGGAAACTGAAGGCCTTGGCTTCCAAGCTCATGTCTGACTGAGCATGTCTCTTGAGATCCTCTCAGAGGCAGAAACTCTGCAGAAAAGGAGCCCAAAGAGGAAAAGGCTACAAATTCCATTCTGTGAATCCAAAATTCCATTCAAAATCCTCGGTGTCTTCCATCCCTCCCCCCTGAATGTTTGAGGCCTACTTAAGAGTTAAACCTAAATAAATTATATTAATCATTCACATAATTACACGTTAATTATATTCATGTTAATGAATTCAAAATTGGCAGAGAGCTCTAACACAGCATGTGTGACTGGCAAGCAACTGCAGGCTCCTGCATGGCTGACATCACATCTACCCAGGAGAAATACCTATGTGAGTGCCTGCTTCAGAATACATGAAGGATTAGCACATAACAGACATGAATATGGTCATGTAAGACAGGCACATCTGACACAGACATAGGAGGCATGTTTGTCACCCTCATGCACATGTATGGCAAGTCTATCTGACATGTACAGTCATTGATGTGCACTTACCTGATCTTGAAAAGGTTGTCTTCCAGGTTTTGATTTCTAACACGGTTAACAGGCCCTGGTTATTTTGTAATATATTAATTAAAACAAATCTCTGAAACACTGAAATATCTTAGGAGATATTTGTCCACCTAATATGTGAAAGTAATATGTTCCAAGTCATGGACTTCATGCCTTTTTCTTGTGGTGAAGATTATTACTGGCTCTAACCTGTCTAGGATCTCTCATCTTTCACAAGTTCCTACCACTGATGAGTCTCATAAAATCACCAATCTGCCACAATCCAAATATCCCTTAATATTACCTTAGCGTGGAATGCAGCTCCCTGAACAACAGCAACATATTGTCCCGTGGTGCTGGTATTCATAGAACAGCCAAGTTAAAATGTACAGTACCTCCACTAGCATGGTACCCCTTAACATAATGTGGGGAGAGAGGGCAGAGAAAGCAGGCATGTCCAAGTTACGAGGCACAGCACCTTCCATATCAGCACAAACCTATCCTAATTCCTCTGAGACATAGGAAGCAAATTACCTTAAGGTTTGAACAGAAGAACATCCTAATAATTATCCAGAACTGGAGCAAAAAAACCTCAACAAAGCAGAGTCAAAGCAACTAGGAGGGGGTGATTTAATCCATGAGTGGTTTTAATTCATTTCAATTAATCAGATTTGAAGGATATATTAAGTTCCTTAGCTAAGTACAGCCTGCTGTGAAAGCCCTCCAACCCACTCTGAGCATCCATGCTTCAAATTCAAGCTGACACTGGAACAGTGTCAGCTAAGAGATTATGTCTGGTGATTAACACATCTGTTGTCAAAGCACCCAAATCCCTTGTGCTCACCCTCTTGTTTCTTCTCCACCTCTGTGGAAAGAGCAGGAACAATTTACTAACAGGATTAGTTCTGTCACTTGGGTTCACAATGAGGGCCCCCAGCATTGAAGGCCCATCTCTGTCAGAGCTCCTTCTCAGATGCTCTGCCTCACTGTGGAAGTAGAAGCAGTGAGACAAGAGAAAGATAAATACATGGAAATCAGTAGGGTCATTTCCCTCTGCTGGTTTTCAACTGGGGGAGGCAAGTCTAGAGTAGGTTACATAGGAAGCCAGTCAACCCCTGCCATCTCTGCTACTGGTATAATAATTCACATTCCTAAATTAGCTCAGCTGAGGTACTGGGACCATCTCCCATGACACCAGCCTGTCTTTTGCACAGTTCCCTTCACGTATGGATAGTACAGTCCCAAAATGCTATCCACTGCTTGGCCTCTATATTGAAAAACTCTTTGCTTAGGTGCCATTTGCTATGATGGTGGTCAGCCATTCATTAGGAACAGACCTGAGACCATCAAGTTATTTTACACTCGCCACCAGAAGGCTTTCAAAAAATAACACTTTTCAGTGCTTTCCAGTTAAAGATGGCTTCAGTTTAAGAAGAGGCACCTAAGAATGTTAACCTAATAGCAGCACCAACGCAACTGAATACAGTATGATGGCACTGCACCACCTCAGTGCTGTCAAGGGTTACTGAAGAATCTTGGTGAGATTCAGGCTCAGCCCCATCTGAGCGTATTAGGGTCAACTGACAACTACTGGTCTCCATTTAAATAACACCATGTTAAAAGCCAGGCTTGCTAACCCAATCCCCAGAGCTAACCAGTTCTTTTGCAAGGTTGAGTTTAATAAAGAAACTTGTTTCTCTCAAGTTGTATCTCTACAGATTTCCCAGCACTTGTGGAGCCTCAACTCAGGAAAATACCATTGATTATTGCTAGTCCTGCCACACTCATTACAGGCTTAAGAAAAGAAAAAAATTCAGAGATGAGACCATTTTGAAAGAGAAGTGTGTATTAAGAGTTACAGAACAATTTTATTATAACAAAGTGGCATGTTAAGAGATTTTTCCTGCATCTCATTTCATTTTTTAGCACAAGGTTCTTGTTATCACAGGAAACAGAAAAAGGTTTAAGGTGTTGCTGTTAGCATTTTTGTACTCCTCCAAGGAAAATTCTATTGACAGTCAATTTGTGAGGCACAATTCCCTTCATTTACTCTGTTGTTAGAAGAACAACAGCGGCCTGCATCCATTACACAGAGATCATAACACACACACCAGGTCTCACTTATAGAACAATGTCCTTGTTAAAATACACAGGGAGAGTGAACATGTTATAAGTCACTATGGTCCCCAGTTGAAATTCAGATCTGTATTTGGATATTAACTCAAACTTCCCCAAAACCGGGGAGAATTTTAATTCAGAGTTGTAGTTTGGCCCCCTCTAAAAATATTGACCTGATGACTGGATCTCGATCTAAATGAGAACTTCCTCCAAAATCCAGATCTGCTGTCTTTGTTGAGGCCTCAGTCTGTTGAGAAGGTGGAGCTCTTCAAAGGGAAAGTTCTTAAGTTTTTTGGCCTTGGAGATCTTTTTCACAAGAAAGAAAGCTTTAAAATGCATCAGGCCACAGCACCATCTCTCTAATGTGTTTTTATTTCCACTTCTGAAGGTTACCAAAGACTTTAGTGTTCTAAAATGGGCCCCGCTCTCCATATACATCTAGGCCCAATGTCTCATCCTTGCTGGAATCATTCCAGTGGCAGCAAGGATTGAGCATTACTAAAGATGACATCAGTTCCCCACACAATGGAAGAAAGGGAGCAAGTTCTCATTCAAACACAAATATCCTTGGTGTTTACCTGAGCAAGAGAAAAGTGCTAGTAATATCAATTGTTTTATTAGGTTCTTCCATGTTTTTATTTTCAAACTTCTTTTAGCCTGTCCACTCTCCATAGTAAAGACCCCTTTCCAGCCCCTTTTTACAACCTTCTAGTTCTCTGTGTATAAGACATAACATGCACCCACTTCACCCACTCTTCTCTCTTAATTTTACCTTCCCCATGCAGTGTTTCTTTGGGATCAAATAAGCAATTACACAACAATCCCTACCTTCTCCAGGATGTTTCAAATGGTCTTAAATCATGCTGGTTTGTTTCTGTACCCTTCTGTTCCCATTTCAGGTCCCCTTTCTACACCTTAACTGAAGTTTACGCTATTTGCATGAACTCTCCAGCTGGTGGCTGAAGTGACTGGTCAAACCAGACCTCAGTCAGACAACCTTCAGGGAGGAACTGCTTAACATGGAAAAATGCTACCACTGGGATTGTGCTCCCTGTGCATCCCAACTCCCTACTGCTACTCCCCTTAAATACTATGCAGTAACACTCTCAGGAGAGAGGGCTATGTACATGCAGCACACACTCCATGAAGACACATGCATACACACACACGCACACACATATATACCCACATGCATGCCTGACAAGGAAACCCACTCTTTCTTTCACCAAGCAGAAAGCAGTAATGGCTGATAGTAGGGCTCTATCATCGCTGGCTCAGGTGTGAGATCACATAGATAAGGCCCACCAACAGCAGGCCACGCACCCCCACCATCATGAGGAGGAACAGCAGCAGGATGGACATCACCGGCTCTACCACCTGGTTGCCAAGGTTCCATAGGGGGAATCCCATATTCACAAGCTGCTGGTTGAGCTCTGAGAATGGAGACCTTCCCCTCAACCTCGCATTCTGCTGCTGCAGTGGAGTAGGACCGCCATTAGGCATTGCGTTGAAGAAACCCTGCAGACAAAGAGAAAATGAACTCAGCAGACTTATGCCAGACTAGTGGAGGGGGAAAAAGCCAACACAAAGCACCAAGAAGAATCTCAAAAACATTCTTGTTTATTAAATCCAGAGTGCAACGTGGTCAGAATCAGCTCCCAAGGCCAATGGAGAACAATGGGGTACCAAAGCACAAGTGATTGCCTGCCTCTGACAAGCATTTCAGAGGAGCTGTCTGCCTTTTGCACTCTAAACCAAAGGTCACACTGTCGGAAGGGGAATGGACAGCAGAGTCTGCAGGATCATGCCTCTGGGTTGCCCACAAAATACGAAGTCTCTCTCTCGCTCTCACACATGCATACACCCCCATATCTGAACCTCTTGAGACCAGAAACACAAGCTAGGATTGGAGCCAACTTTATATAAAGTGGAAAGGAACACTGACAGTTGGAACAGGAAAAGAGCTGCTGTTCCTACTAAGACTTTCCTTGTAATCTCTGCATGGTGAGGATCTGTGGATCTGGAAGGAACACATCAGGCCAAGACAGGAAGAAAGGAAGACACATGCTACTCTGAAAATAGATCTAGACCGGAATTAATACTGTTTATACCAGAGGTGTCAAACACATGATCTGCAGACTGGATCTATCCTGCAGAACCATTCCATCTGACCTGCTAGTAGTCCAGAGGGCTACCAGAAGTTAGGGTTGTGGCCACTGAAGGTGCCCTGCTGACGGACCCTGGACCTTGACAGACACTGCCAATGGTGGCACAGGGGTGAGCAAGGGCAGATACACCCTGGAGACAAACAATCCCTGGCACACCTACAGGATTGGCAACGCCAACCTGGCCTGCACTACGAATGAAAGGAATAATAACTGACCACAGTATGAACATGAACCAGCAGCGTGACGCCATAGCCAGCAGAGCCAACAATACCCTGGCATGCATCAATCGATGCATCTCCAGCAAAACCAAAGAAATGATTCTCCCACTCTACTCAGCATTGGTGAGACCACAGCTGGAGTACTGCATCCAGTTCTTGGCGCCACACTTTAACAAGAACATGGTAAGGCTTGAGGGAGTCCAGAGAAGGGCCACCTGTATGATCAGAGACTTGCGCAGCAAGCCATACGAGGAAAGGCTGAGTGAGACTCTTCAGCCTGAAAAAGAGAAGGCTGAGAGGGGACTTGGTAGCAGCTTACCACTATATCAAAGGTGTATATCAAGGACTTGGTGAATAACTGTTCACCAAAGCACCCTTGGGGAAAACTAGCAGTAATGGTCACAGACTCCTGGAAGACCGTTTCAGGCTCAACATTAGGAAAAACTACTTCATAACTAGGGTGTCCAGACTGTGGAATAAGCTCCCTTCAGAGCTGGTGCAACCGCCTACCCTGGAAATTTTCAAGAGGAAACCGGACAGTCACCTCGCTGGGGTCACCTGACCCCAGTTGTCTTTCCTGCTTGGTGCAGGGGGCTGGAACTGATGATTTTCTGAGGTCCCTTCCAGCCTTACAATCTATGAAAACCCTTTGCTTGCCCTAATACCACCCATCTCTGGATCCATGCTACTACCGCCCATTCCTTCAGCAGCAATGCTGGCCACTCCCCGACCTAGGCCCTCACCCCTGATACTGCTTGATGCCCAACCTGGGTGGCTGGCCCCAACTCAGATGCACTGCAGCTGCTGCTAACTGTGAGGATCTGGCCCAGAAGGAGCCCCCACGATCTGTATCCAGCCCAGAGCAAGTTTGACATCCCTGGTTTAGACCAGTGTTGGCTCCCCCCACGGGTCACTAACTGTTTACAAATGGATTTATAATGCAGTTTCAGTGCAACAGCTGATAGCAGCGCAACTGCCTGTTGCCCAGCTGACACAGCAGACCCCAGAGGGGCAGACAGAGGAACAACCAGTGTTTGGCCACTGCACAGATTAAATCTGTGTTTCCTAAAGTTCCCTAGACTGGGAAGTTATTCTCTGTTCCTGCCAATATGCCTACACAACAGAACCCAGCTGCTATAAGACACCATGATACTTGTGCTAATTTTGGAGCTGCTTTTCCACTGCTTTGTGTTTTATTTCAATTAGACACAATTGGGCCCACAGAGTGAACCCTGATGCATTTCCACCGCTACTTGCTATACTCCCTGCTATTCCCAACAGTCCCCTAATACAGGGGTGGGCAAAATATGGCTCACAGGCCATATCCAGCCCACCAATTAATTATATCTGGCCTGTGGGCAGGTGGTGTGGGCAGTGGCTCTGGCTCCAGCCTCTGCTGGTGCCACAGGAAATACTGGGCAAAAGCAGTCCCACCTACAATCACACCCTCCTGGCACCACACAGCAGGCCCTAGGCAAGCTGCACTCAAGCCTTGCCAACTCTGGCTCCGGCCTTTGCTAGTTCTATGTGGAATGCCAGGTGGAAGCAGCCCCACCAGCCCAACTCCACACAGCAGGCCCTGGGTCAGCCATGCTTGGGCCCCAGCCCCAGCTTGGGCTGGACCAGCTGTGCCCTGTGTGCCCGTGGTCTGGAGCTGGCAGGAGCCACCCTGGGCACCAGGACTGTGCTCAGAGGCAGTGGAGCTTCCCTGGTACCTCTCAACAGGTAAAGCCCCAGTCCCACCTTGCCTCTTGCAGTGCTGCAAGCTGGCCCAGCTACCTGCTACCTCCTGGCTCCAGCCAACATGGTTCCTATCCCATCTGGCCAGGTGAAGTTGCCCCCAGCACCCTGGGGCTGGGGCTCCTCCTGGGGGAAGAAGGACCTCCAGGCTGCAGGTGGCATGTCAGGGTACAGGCAGAGGCAGGAGCTCCGTTGTGATTTGGGGGTGGCTGGGCAGTGGCAGGGCTCTGCTGGAGGCGGGGGTGTCCTCCCTTGGCTAAGTGCCCTGCTGGCTGGTTTTATTTCCCTTGGGACAAGCATTTTATTTTGAGCTATTATGTAAATTGCTTCTATATGCACTATGCAAAAAACATAAATCAAGACAAAACATTTTTTTAAATAAAATTAAAATAATTTATAGTAGATGTTTGATTTTCAGCATATGATTTTTTTAATCTAAAATGTGTTAAAATTATATTCTCACCATTAATTTTATGTGTGTGGCCCTCAACAGCTCACCAAAACTTGTTAAGTGGCCCTCCGGCCAAATAATTGCCTACCCCTACCCTAATACCTTGCAAGTACGGTACAAAATATTCTCATTCATCTCTGTCTTGCCTAGTTCTCAGAATAAAGCATGAAGAATTATGCAGTTCAGAAGAGTGTTTAATAGTGATGCACCCCCCATTTCCTCCAGCAATTGTAAAATGCACTGCATTTTTCCCCATATTTTCCTCTTCTGTTGCCTTACCCGCCGGGAAGCATTGTCCCTCTGCTGAGTGCTTGCTCTCACCCGGGGGTCGTCATCCTGTACAATATCTCCATTAGCCAAAATCCGCACCATCCTCAGGGTCGCACAGTGTAGCTACCCAGTCACACCTGTAACACAGGAAAAAGTGCTCAGAGCAGTGGTTCAACCTTTTTAGACTCAAGGCACCCCTTGTTAGACTCAAAAACCCCCTCAGAAAATGCCAGGTTCATTTTCACTCTTTTTTTTTTCCTACAGAAAAATAATAGAGCAATTCTTCTGTGGCAAAGAACTCAGAATGACCACAGCAGGGCAGAATGTTAGTTTAACAATATTAATTTATCCTGTGTATCATGTTTGCACACCTAACAGTGCTCACATTGCATGGCACCCTGCAGCACCTTTGAAAGGATCTCAAGGCACCCCAGGGCACTGCAGCACCCTGTCTTAGAGGGAAAGTACCCAGAGAGAAAGCTCAGGGCCCTATCAGACATTCAACACTGATAAGAGGGAAAACAGGGCCATGTAAAACAAATTAACCATCTTGGGCCAAACTGCAATAAAAGCAAGTTTTCCCCAGCCTTTGCATGACTGCACAAGGGCCTCTGAGGAGTGTAGGTAGTGCTCACTCCTGCTGCTTGCCACAGAGCAGATAGAATAAAAGGGATTTAGGGGCAGGGAGCAGTTGGGGCCATCACCCTATAAACATATTGTTATGGACACAGCAAAAGTCCCACTGCCAGAAACTGGAAAAAAAACCTACTCTGAATATTGAATCCCCAGGGGAAGAGATATCTGGCTTGCTTCAGAAGAGCTAAGAGAAATAGCAACTGAAAGTATCATATGAACACAGAGTTTGAAACTGCAGTAATGTCCTCAGATCTCCCTTCCTACCACCAGCAAACCTCACAACTATTTTGCAAGTCTGAAGAAATCTAAAATAAACTTTCCCTCTTGCAAGAGGAAGCCTCTAAGAATCAGAATCGTAAGTATATGTATGAGGGCTCTGCAGAGCAGTATATTTTGCGCTAGAATTTAATAAATATACATTTATCCTGGTAAGAATGAACATCTATAACAGCCCAGGAAAACCAGTGAAGACCATGGGTAGGTGTCAGGAATCTAGTCACTCAACCTGTGCCTCGTTATAACTCAGCATGCATGAAGCAGTTGGCTTAAAATCTCAGCAGACCTGTACTTTTGCCATTAATTCAAAGTAGTTTTTAATCCAATTAGAATCCTGCAGGAGGTCGCCAAGGGCCAGCACCACACACTGCCTTACCCCATGCATGAGGGACTGCTCTTTCACCCCAGGACTGTTAGCAGCACGTTTCCCTTCTCTGAGAGCCACCAGGCATTCAGAGTGGCCTGTAGCCCTGTTTGCCTTTTGGATTTGAAAGCTGATCTTTCCCATCCTGACAGACCCGTGCACATGCTGACCACACTACTGATGCTGTGCAGATGGATCTAAGTCCTTCCTCTGTCACAACCATGGCTTGGATCAGCCTGGGCACACGGTCTGCTAGGATCCACACAGCAGGTTATCCCTGCAGCCTCTGGGTTTTTTTACATAGCTGTCATTTCGCCAAGGAGCAGATATGAGAAGGCACGGAGGGAAGCAGAGACTCTGCAGCTCCCTGAGAAGGTGCTCTGCAACCTGCCAGAAAGAGCAGACTCACCTTTGCGATTCTCTCCCCGTTTACGCCATCCAGGGTCCTGCTTCTGTCACGGACACTTGCAGCCAGGCTGGTGCTTCCCCCAGGCTGACGACACAGGAAGCTGAGGGGATCGAGGGAGAAGGCAGCTGCTCTTCCAGACAGACTCTCCCAGACAGAGCAAATCCCCCTTCAGGCTCCACAGCAAACTGCAGCTCTGGCGGATTCAGAGCTCTCTACACAAGTGCCCTCTGGCCACGGTTGTCCTGAACCCCTGCTCCTTGCCACATGTTTGCTGACACTGGGATGCTGATCCAGCAGTCAGAGCAGCCCTGAGACTTCAGCTTGATAAATCTGAAATCTGGGCATGGCAAGTGCCCTTGGCCCAAAGAAAAAGTGGGAAAGGACCCCAGGGACATGGCCCTGCTGGCCACAGCCTAAGGAGTCCTCTGAAATTCAAGCCATATGCCTCCAAAGCCACAGCGCGTTGCTGATTGTCACAGAGCTCTCCCCCATCCCACAACCCAGTGTTGCAAGACAGTTGAAGAACAAGCCTCCAGCTGATTTTCTAGCATAGGACAAATTCACAAACCAGATTTAGGATTGAGTTTGGGGCCAGATCATTAGAGTTGAAGACCAGCTTGTTGACCTAAGCAAATGTTGAACCAGTAATCAGTTCAAAGTTGTTATTAGTGCCAGTTAGTGCACTTGAGTTGTACACAATTTGGCACAAGTTTCTCAGACCAAACTAAGTTTAACACTTTTAGCAACCTAGATCTCATTTCCAACCAAAGGCTGGCTAGAACAAGGTCTGAGGACACCTGAATAAAGTTTGGTAGCAGTTTGTGAGGCCAGGCAAAGCTTAATTTAGACCCTAGTTTGTGAGCCCTGACTAGTGGCAAAGTCAATAGCAGTTCCTGGGTTCAGGTGAGCTCTGGACTGCATCACAGTTCGGTAACGTGGTTTGTTCCATCCACACAGCCAGGAATGTAACATGGTTTAATACATACTACCAGGTTCTTCTAATACAGTCAGGTCTTCTGATGCATTAAGTTATCTGCTCTAGACAGGTGCAATCAGTTTCTCCTGGAGTCCAAATTATCCTGTGAACAATTCCCATTTTCTAGATCAGAATATGATATGGGTTGGGCCCCAGGCATGTGTACTGGCATAAAGACAGGCTATATATTCTCAGTCAGACCTTTGGAGTCTTCTCAGTTGAAATCCACCATAGAAGTGAATTGTGGCTAAGAAAAGGAGGAGGGTGATCCTTGCATTTCCTCCTTCTCAGGGAAGCAGAGCATCCAGGATGGACTCTGACAGAGATGGACCCTCTACACTGGAGGCCCTCATTGTCAGCCCAAGTGATGGAGCTAATCCTCTTAACAGATTGCCACCTTCTTTTCTAATAGACAAAAAGCAAAAGGGAAGTAAGGAAAACTGCCTTGGAGTTTGAGGCCACAACATTAATCCCTTTCCCTCATTCCTTCAGAAATAAAATGATCCTTAAGGAGACAGCATCAAGCACTTTCAGCCACACATTTTACTCACTTCTAAAACTGAAGTGAATGTTGCAGATGACCTCTGGCTCCAGGAAATCCCTTCAGGTCTGGCTTTAAAATCTGTTTCACTCGCTCTGTGTATTTTTTCACTACACTGGCTTTTGCAGTCCTAGTCTATCCTGACAGCTCCTCACCAACCACAGGGTTTGTCTATAAAGGCTGGGCAAGCCATACCTTCCAATTATGTCATATGATGGTATTTAGGTCTAAGCATAACTTTGGATTTAGAGTTTGGAGCTGTAGCTACACTGTAGAACACTATCTTGTTTACTGATGCTCCAACTGTTTGGGGCCCATTCTCCACTCTGTATGAGGGAGAGAAAACTTAAGAGATTCCTAAATCAAGAACTAAAACTAAAATACATCCCTACTTATTCTTCCAAAATTTGCCTTTATCCTTTAGCAGTCAAGTCCCCCAAGAACCAAATTTGTTTGTGGGTTTTTTTGGTGTTGCATTTTCTTTCATTTCAGATGCCAGGGATCCCACTTTAAAAAACAATATAGCTTAGTCTGGAGAATGTATTATGTAAACGTTTGGCCCCTACAGATTGTGAGTTCAAGTACCTTCCCCAGAGTTCAGTAGTGTTGCTTGTGAAAATATAGTTATTAATCTGGCCACAAGAGGGCAGCCATATTGTATGTGGAATGCAATTCCAGTCTACAGAGATTGTTAACAATGAATAAAATAAATATGAAAATGAGGCACTAGTTTTAAAGTTTTGTTCCAATTCTTCATAGCTAGGCAAATGTCTATGTACAACTCCATGAAATTCAGAGTTAATCTACTATATTTTCCCTATTCCAGCAAATTCAGGTGTAGATTAGAGTGCTTAATAAAAGTATTTTAATATTCTGTAAATGGAACACAAAAGATAGTCTGATTCTTAAAATAAGATGTGCTAGCAAAAATATGACAATTTATCAGGACTTCTGTCACATGGGAGCAGTTCCCCACTATTCCCAATCATGTTCAATCCCCATAGTTTGCAATGGTAATATTCTTCATTTAACTTGGTTTTTGTTCACAATAAATGACCTTCACTACAAATAGTTTTGGTGTAAAGGACCCTAAAATCCCAATAAAATGCAAACTTTTAAACATAACTTCTTGTACTCAGCCCCAGTCTTCAATTTTAAAAACTTACTGTGAACTAATAAATTCACTGCAGTCAAAAGATTACAAAACTAGCTACCAAGGTGAGCACTTGCTTTTGGGGATTCAGTTTGCCTCAAGTAGCACACCCAAAATCTGTAGACACTCTTGAAAACGTAGAACATCTTTAATCTCTCCGTTGTGGAGAGTGGTGTCCTGGATGCAGATCCTCTGCAGGAAATGTTGAACTCCCATAACTCACCCTATGGGAGCAGGCCAGTCCTGCAGGGCAGGAGGAGCTGTGCTTCCAGAGCAGCATGGGGTATTGTCAGGGAAGCCTCTAGTTGCAGCTGCCTGCTGCAGTGTGAATAGTTTCACAGCTCACCGAAGAGACGACTGAATTTAATTCAAGATGAATGGGTGCCTCCCTGATACAGATGACATTTTCATTGCAAACTAACAAGGGGAGAAATCCAATTACATCACAAAGGGGCTCCCTAATAGGCCATGCAGCTTGGAGAGTGTGTGTGGGGAGGGAGAAGAGGCGAGGAGGCGTTCTCTGAACCCAAGTCTGGGTAGTTGAAGGGGGGCGGAGGGAGATCTGTCGTGTCCCTGTATCAGATAGGAACAATGTGGGCAGCGTTCCGGCAGAAGGAAGGACAGGGCCTCGCAGGGGACCGCCTGGTGCAGAAGCACTGGATTCAAACCAGACAGATGCCAGGGGTCACGCTTTAAAAAACAAAACAAAAAAGACCCTACAAAAAATTCTTACTATATTAGAAAAACAAACTGGCTTCACATTCTGAGATTTCTAAACCACAGAAGAACAATGACTTAAAGTGACCAGCCTGTCTAGATCCTAGGGCTTTATCTCCTAAAAGTCTCAGCACCTTTTCACTCTCACTGCTCCTCACCTCTATCACAAATAGCTGTTCTTTTGTCTCAAGGAGGAGAGGGGAGGGGAGAGGAAAACTACTGTCTCACCCGGACCTGGGAAACTTATTCATAAAGATGATGGCTGTGAAATGTCTGCAAATGAGTCTCAGAAAAGTGGGGGTATGGCACAGGAAAAAGGCAGAGGGGAGTATCTATAAATGAGTGCCTCTTGGTCTTATGGTGAGGAAAAAATCATATTGTGGGGAGGTAGGAGCTTGGAAAATTATTAAGAAGCAGGAAGGGAAATAGATTACAAATTCTGCTGTCTAGGCCCTGCCAACCTGAGATGCAGTAGTGACATCCCTGAAAACAAATAGCTTCAGGTGGAGTCAGGACCAAACTGAAAGAGGCAGCCACAAATATAACTTGACCCCAGTCCAAGCTTTAAATACCAACAGGGCCAATTTAAAATCAGTGGGGTAGCTGATAAGCAGCCACTGGAACAAGTGCATGTATGTTGCTGTGTTCTGAGTAAGTTCCGAGCAATAAAGAATCCATAATAAAACTAAGCTGCAGTAACCAGGCTTTGTGTGTGTTGTTGCAAGATTGAGAACAGGCTAAGTCATAGCACAGGATGAACAACTTAGGCAACACCTTCTTGAATGAGAATTAAATATGATCATTAAATAGTGAACAGAGTATCACACGGGGTGCCAGTTAGAGACATGCATCTTGAAATCTGTTATCACTCATAGAAAACAATCTGGCCTCATCCTCTGAGTGGTGGTGACAGTCCAGGTAATATTGCAATGGCACATAGGAGTGAAAAAGCATGTGAATCCTATTCATCCCATGATCTCCAGCCTTCTTAGAGTCCTTCCTAAGAAGGTCAACAAGCAGCACTGCAAAAACACCCCTTAACTTAGAGACTTCTCTCCTGTTACTGACCAGAACATAGCAACTCTATGCTAAATGATGCTCTAATGCTGCTCCTACTAATTTCAAAGGAGCAGGGGAAAACCCTGCACATAGCTGCTGACATTTACAAAAGGCTGTGCAGATACAAGTGGTCTGTTGCATGCTTTAGCTGAGGCTTATTG